TCTTGGGTAGATATTTTGGTCATAACAACTACTTATACCATCAAGATAAACAATGTTCAAAGTGAAATAAAGGATAAAAACTGGGCTTATTCATGCCATGCCGCTAGTGAATGATGCACGTTGCGGCAGTAGGCATTCAGGTCATATTCCTGGTCGCTTCTAATAATACCCCCTCCCCCCCCTCCCCCCCCGAAAAAAAAAATTAGAACGTATTGTGTTACACGAGGTTCAAAATTATCCTTATTTCTTTTTCTAGATTTCCTCAAAGCCTGAATATTTTACTCTTTGCAATCATTTGGAAGCGATTTCTGAGTAATCGGACCACCTACAAGTGTAACTCTTGTTGCAGTACTGAGCTACACGATTATTGCCCACAGGGGTAGAAGCTGATTTTTTAAAGTTCAGTCTGAATATTTTTTATTGTTGATTTGATAAATAACTAATTTGTCACACATTGGACAAAAGTATTTGTTATGGTGTAAAATTGTTAGTAGTCATATAAAAAATATTTCTCACCTTGTGAAGCTTATGTTTCTTAGAATATGGTCATGAGCTTAAAGCAAGGTTTTAATGAGTAGTTTTGTTCCCAGAAACAATACTAATTAGTTTTGAATAACTTTAGAACTAACTGACATATTTTAAAAATAATAGCATATTTGAAATCAGTGAGGAGAGCTAAGGACTGTGCAGTTTTATTTGATTTGGTGAAGAAAAACTTGATGAATTTTAAAAACACACTAGTAGGCATAGGGCAATGTATTCAAGTTTCTGGACCCTACACTCTTTTTGTCAGGCCATGTGCATTCACTTTACAACTCATGAATCGAGAAACGCCTGTTAAAATGTTACTTGAGCCACTCTAACTTCCCTCATTAAGGCTCACACAAGAACTACTGCTTGGATTTTATCGAGATTTCACACATTTAATTACCTGCAATAAAAAACATGCAAAATTTTTACATTTTTTAATGAATTTTTTCAGACGTTATGGTACAGTACTTTAGAAAGAACAGTGGGCTCTCGACATGGCAACGGGAAAGCTGGTCTGGTGCAAAAAATGAGAGTAGGCTAGGCCCTTGCCAAATGAATACTGAAGTTTTCTTCGCACTTGTAACTTATTGAAGCATCAGATGGTTTATGGAAAGCGTAACGACACACTTCTCATCACACCATTTTGATGTGTTGCAGCCGACTTCAATCGTTTTCCAAACGTCTTGTGAAAATGTCTATACGTAGAGGGCAACAGCAAACACAGCAGACGCTGGCGATCTCTCGATAATTCTCCTGGGTACTACAAGGGTCGGTCACTGTCTTGCTATTATGTGACTAAAGGACAATACTCAGCATGTAGAAGGTCTGCTGAAACCTTCAGTGCAGTAGGAATCCTTGTATGTGTTGTTTGCGGCCATTTTGATCATTTGTGCATATAGGGGCTGGTACTAATTTTTCTCAGGGATGAAAACTCTATAGTTATTTCCAGCTTGATTGCAGAGCTCAGCCCCTTCCATGCCAATGTTACAGCTGCTGAAGAGGTTTGTCGTGCAACCCTCTTCAGTAAATGGACACTTGGTTACAAAGCATAGCAAACACACTCTACTGTCGTTCATCAGCATCCTAACTCTAATTTTGCCTTTGGTGTTCATGAAACAAAACTTGTTTCCTAGATCAAAACAGAAACTACATTCCTTACGTTCCTTCTGTTCCATGTTTTTTATCGTTGACAGAAAGCATCGATTTGTACTGTTGTCCTGCCTCTTCTACTCCTAAGTTTCTCTGTTTGGCTCAAAAGTGACAATAAAGCATCATAGAACTCTTGTATATTGACAGCGACAGCTGTTACAGTCTCGCGAGTCTCAGATAACAAAAAATGACATTCTTCCATATAAAGTAGCTGGTTCAATCTCCAAGACAACGCACAACAATAGGCATGTGTGTGCTCCCATGAAGTCCCATCGTATTACTTTAAGAACACCTACATTAGATTACACTTCAGAGTGAAACTGTGCACTCTATAAGCTTCTTGAGCTTAGCAGCAAATATCTTGTTCTTGTTGAAGCACAAGCACAAAGAATGCGTTTTTTTTTTCAACATATATATTATAAAAGCTCTAATCAATTTAGAAAAAATAGTGCTGACAATGTGTATTTGACGGGTTCTCGTTTTCCTAAAGTTTAGCAACTCACAGAACAGAAAAAATTGAACCAAGACACTATGCCAAGTTATGACTAACTTGCTGCAATCTTTGGCATCTGAAATTCAAATGAGCGAGATCAGAATGTTCTGTTGTGTATTTTCTAATCCCAAAAAAGAAAGTGTACTTTGTAAAGTACACTGGGCCTTAATGGGTAAATTAATTAGTGCTTTCACCATCAGAAAGCAAGGCTAGAATCTAAGGCTGGTTACAAAAGCCCTGCACGTGGCCTGAGCTGAAGGTGTACTAGACCACAAGCCTTTTTTAAGCTACACTTACAAAATAAAGATGTTTGTCCTGCTTCTTTCTTGCATAGTGTCAAGCACAAGGGATGGCACAGGCCATACAATACTGCAACTAGGTGCTACTAAGTTGTGGGAAGTCATGCATAGACCAAGGTGCCATTGTTTTAACTATGAACTTGAGGAACATGAAATATCTCTTAACTTATTACACAGTTATTTGGGGGATGACTGCAGGTTGTGTGGCCATAGCCCTTTCTTTACTAATGCATGCCCAAATCCTCACAGCAACCAAATCCTCACAGCAAATTAATACGAAACTAACAGAAGAATTGTATAAGCATTTTAAACTAGGAGCATGTGATCCACACGTGTAAGCCAACCTTCCATCTCATTAACCAATGAATAATTTGCATACTGGTGCAGCAGCTGTTGCACGACTCATTGAGTGTCATGTGTCTCATACCAGTGTAAGCATAGGCACTTGAGCTTTTTGATGTAGGCAGCATTTCAGATGAAGTGTATTGAAGGGGCCCTGCAACACTTTTCAAAATAACCATCAAATGACCTCACCATCATAGGTTATGACTTCTACTGGGCTCACTTCAAGTTTACAGTTGCACAAAACTATTAATTTAACATACTTAAGGTAATCAGGGACTCAATGTCCATCACTATATGGTCCCCACTGATAACATGCCTTCAGAACAACCATTTTCTTTCATAACAATTCTTTGCTTAAATATTGCTTGGAAGACTTCATCAAATAACCATATTTCGTTTAATTCTTGAAGCCCCTTTTTCTTCTAATTTACACTTTCAAGAAGTGAATTACCAATCTGAATTTTTAAATTACACCATAAATGATTTGTTTTTTCCACATGGCAAACAGAGCCATATAACAAGGTATCAGTAAAAAGAAAATGAAGTCACTGTACGGATTTGATTGGCCTTTGATTTATTGGTGAAATTAAACTGAAATAACATGCGGGATCTGCTAAAATGAATTGAGAATGCAGTGAGACTACTGAAAGATATCAAAATGTTTTATACAGGTTGGTTTTCTGTAATATAACGGTTGATTTACATGCTAATCGTGCATTCATACAACAGACATATGCTTGCTTTAGACAGTGGCAGGAAAATTTCACATGGGGAAAAGATGACACAACTGTTAATCCACGAAACACTTTTTGAACACATTAAGAAAGCATTGTTGACTAGGCTAATGAGAGTATTTGAGCTGTGAGGTGTTACTGCACTTCATGCAGCAGCAGGGCTTTGCGATCTTAAGTCAAAAACAGCTAAAAATTGAAGATGGATGGCACAACAATACGATGGGATACAGAGAAGACTTGCATGCTGCAGAGCACTTGATGTTGAAGCAATACTTTTTTGCAGACTAGTTGGTTCATACTTGAAAAATTGAATTGCTGCACAAACTTAAAGGAAAACAAGGGAGACCGGAAAGAGCGCAAGCAAGAGCGACAGGAAACTGCGCTCTTTCCTGTCTCCCTTGTTTTTCTTCAAGTTTGTGCAGCAATTCAATTTTTCACTTGATGTTGTAAACTGCCATGGGCTCTACTGCATTCAATGCAATAATACTAGACAGCCCAAGTGCTTACTTTGGCCTCCAGATCATGGAGTGGCCTAAATGATCCTCCGTGTGCTAGCAGATTTTGCTGGAAGGCAGAGGTAGGCCCAACCACTGATCCTTAGGAGACCCCAACGCTCAGCATAAATATTGACGAGAAAGAGAAGAGCTAGGTAGGAGTGCAACACCTAGCCAATTGTAGCTTCCTCCATACAAGTTACTTTGCTTAAATTATGGTGAAGGTGATTTGATAACAGAGTAGCCATGCAGTTATCAGTGGCTTATGCAATCTGCAATGTAAGCTGTGCTCTTCTTGTCACATTTAAGCTTGTAGGGGCCACTTATATTTCTCTGGAATAGAACAAATGGTAGCACAAGTTGAAAAATAATGTTGCTTGCTATCTGTTAGACTGTACAACAATGTTAGAGAGCAGTTTCGGAAGGCACAGCTTTGGCTTTTGTGTAGAAAAGTGCAACTGTAGTAAGAGATGTAAGCTACAAGCCTTTTCACAGGAGTTAAGCATACGGCTAGTACAAGCTAGCTTTTGTTTAGATTTTCACTTTAAACAGACGCTGTCAGTGAATGAGGGGTGTAGAGCACTGGGCTATATGGTGCCTCTTTCATCCCTAATAGGTAGCCAGCACATTCATATAGTATGCAAGTGTATAGGACTTCTTGCTGTTCCTGTGCCTTGTATGTCATAGAGTCGCCAAGATCTGCAATGACCCTTCACTGGGTTGTTGTAGGCAGCGCACAGATGTTTCTTCTGCACAAACCGAGATTAAAATTTTTTGGGCTTTTTCGCCAATATGTGCATGTTTTCTCGTAATAAATATCGAACCCGACAAATATTTTCAGGTTTAGTGCAACTATTTAATAATGAGGTTCTTGACTGTATTAAGATTACACTCAGTCTTCTTCATGGCAGAGCGAACGCATAAATGTAAGTGCTCAATACAGATACGAACCAGCTTTGCACTGTTAAAAAAAAATGAAGCATCTTTATTCATGTCAGAAATGTACAGATATCTAGAAAATGACAGTTGATAGTTCACAGAACTGGCAACACTTGGCCAGAATGCCACAAGCCTGTTAAGGAAATGAGCCCATACAGTCAGACAGTGTCTTGATGAAGGAGCATGCAAAGTGGAAGAGAAATATCAGTGCAGTTTCCAAACTTTGGAATTCAATAATTATTTTCTTCGTCTTAGTAGAAGCACTGAGACAGTTCTGGAATGAACAACAGAGAACATCCAAGCTTGAAAGGCTACTTCAATAAAAAAAAGCTGTAGCATGAAAAAGACATTCAAATTGTAAATACATGTTTCCATGCTGAAGTACACTCAGGCATTACAAAGTACAAAGGGGCAATATTTTGCCATAGTCTACATATCAGCAACATTCAGTACACAGCTCAAAAATAAATAATATAGCTTCTGCAGCATAAAATCTACCATACTTCACAAATGCCCAAAGTAACTGATAATCTCTAGAGAAATATAGAACCCTGGAGCATTCGCAATTTCCCAGGCATGTAACGTAACATCTGCTTACAGTTCTCTCTGACAATTTGCTTGCACAGACAAAATAAGGACTGTATGTACAGAATCCAACTACATATTTTTCACATACAGACATTTGCCCTGCATTGACAACAGTATGCAAAAGCTCGAAAAAAAAAAAAAAACATTAACAAGTGTACTGGTACAAGCCTCGATACAGGCACCTTATCCTCACATTATCACAGCGACGTGCATCAAATAGGGGTATGCAAATATTGAAAAATTTTGAATAACAAATCAAGTAGCATTTTATTATTTGATTCAGTACTCAAATTAAACAGTGCACATAATAAATACCAAATATTTTCCTAATAATAAGCACCAATAAAAGCCTTGAAGGAATAAGACACTGGAATAGAGAGCAGTAACTTTTCTGATTTGAAACACCTAATGCACAAGGCACAGACAGTTCAAAGTTTTACAGGACTATTGATGCTAATTGAAAACAGGATGAAAGCGTTTTCACTTCTCCAGTGTTGCTGAAGTGACAGAGTCATCAATCTACTATCTTCATCATGACATTCATGATGATGCTAACTCATGAATATTGTTTAACACTTATTTACAAGCCATTGAAAAAGTGCAATATTGAACACCATAGTCACACCTGTATTTCAACCTGCAGTTACAAAACACTATTTCTAAGGCTCTATTAGTTGCTTTCTATGAGCTTGCCTCAATTTACAAAATTGTGGTATCTTTTTTTTTTTTGTCGGTTACAAGTAACAGCAACCTTTCTTTATTGAAGATAGTTAATATCAAATAAATTTTCAAATTACATACTTTCAAAAGTTTCAAATAAATTATTGTGGAATTCTTGGGCTGTTCACCTTTCTTTATTGAAGATAGTTAATATCAAATAAATTTTCAAATTTCATACTTTCAAAAGTTTCAAATAAATTATTGTGGAATTCTTGGGCTGTTTCAAAAATGACTGATTTGCTGTTCTGGGGCCGCTTTGAAAAATGGTTGTCTTACTATTCAAAAGCTATTTGAATACAACTCAATTTGTCATCGTATTTGATTTGATCAACACTATTTGATTCATACTTGATTTGGTTTCAAAATTCCCAATTCGCACACCCCTAGTACCAAAGCTAAGCCTTGCATGTGGCATACATAAAAAATAATAATAATAAACGTGGGGGAGGTAGCTAGACAATGGTACCTCCCAAGAAGTTATGCACAAGCCTCAGCTCAAAGATGAAATAATTTGCCAAGACAGGCCACTTTGTTAAAATCAAGATCACCGGTTCAACAAGAATACATAGATGTATACCAAGTTATTGGCGACATTGGAAATATATGTCTATGTATTAGCAAAGGCCACACAAGCCTTCACTATACACCTGTGCGCTTCCCTTTACAATGTTCCTAAATGGATTATGATTCTGACCACAGTGCTATGCAATTCCTTCTGCATGTCCAGGCCACTTTGCATGCGGTATGCTAGCAAGAATGGCAGGAAAAAGTTGCATGACCGTGGATGCGAAATAAATGATGTACTGTGACAGGCAGTGCAAGGATACGACCTGTGAAAGACGCTCTTCATACAGTTTGAACGCGGTCCGTGTCCAGCAGAAATGTAAGAGGCATCCGCGTGCACTGCACAAAACGCGCATCGGCGCTGCTGGGACACGCAGCCGGCGTTTGACAAGAAGCGCAAGCACAGATTGGGGGATAAAAAAGGAGCGTTGCGTGTGCGCTGGGGGCTCTCGCTCCGACCTTCGTTTCAGCCGGTTGTGTCTCGTGTAAAGGCGCGTCTCGATGCCTGGTCTATTGAATACCTGTAAATAAGTAATTAAATTGTGTGTTCTCGGTCCTCAAGAGGCCTCGAAAGGGTTCTTCCTTCCCCGGCACCGGGGTGGTTGCCTGTGCCCCACTCCTCGGTCGTATCAACTGTTTGGCAGCGGCAGGATTCGATTAGATCTGATTGGCTTTTTTCCTGGTACCGATGCTGGTGAGTGCTCACTTTTCGTAGAGATTCTACCAGGTGTTTTGGATAGATGGTGATGTTTATCCAAAGAGGTAGATTGGTCGCTGCTTCGTGAAGGCTAGTACTTATTAGAGGTAACTTGACAGCAGCTTGAGCAACAAAAGTTTGCACGGGGTGACCATAGATTTGAACAGGTTAAGAAAACTGGGTTTAGTTCTTTTCTGCGAAGGGCTGGGCATTGACATGGTGATGATACATAGGAAGCCACATTTGATTCACGTGATTAAGGATTCCGGCATCGATGAAAAGAGGCTTTGCGATTGTTAGGTGCTCATACAGGCCAGGCTAAAGGAAGCTGAAGAACCAGAGCGGCTTGCGCTTGAGAGAGAGACCACCAGGCGTAAAGAGGCAGCTGCAGCTCATGAAAGAAAAATGGAACGATTGATACTTGTGCTTCACATTGTCATGGCGAAACATGCCGGATGATACTTGCTACTCCCTGCAAAAGTGACGTATTGGTTAGGTGAGCAATGCAGGCAGAATCGCCTGATTCACAAAAAGGCCCAGGCCTTAGAAGAGGCAGAGATGATGCTGGTAACCGGATCAACAACCAACCTCAACCAGCCAAGAACAAGCCGCTACCACAGGAAGAAACTGCGCGCGTGCCATGCACGCCACCCCAACCAAGATATGCTACCCCAGATACACCACCACTCACCGGTCAGGGTACCGTGAATATAGGAATTGAGCACAAACCAGGCACAAAAAACATGGAATGCATGGCTGAGCAAGCTGGTGAGTGCAGCGTCCGTCGCCAGTCGGAGATGACAGGTGTTCCAAGCATGGCAGAATGCCAGGATAACTAGCGCGTAAAGGAAGGTTCTTCTCGGCATGGGGCAGATGCGATATCTTCGACTGAGCAGAAAGAGTGTGCAGGCGCACTCGTCAAACCAGAAAAATGCAGCTAGAGATGCTGCTGCCTGTTTACAGTGATATGAACAGGCAGGATAGCGAAATAAAAATAGTGAGTTTTATGGAATACTGTGATAAATCTGCAAAAAGTGACGAAGCAGGTGATAAGAATTTGCCAATTCACAGCTTCTAAATTGGCGTGGAGGCCAGTTCATTTCCAGTGGTGTATCTGGTTGCATCAGGCCATTCCTCAAAGATCATGAGTATGTTAGATTTTGAGGCAGAGGAAAGTGTTTGCATGCAAGTAGGGGTCGGTCAGCCACTCCTGTCTACATGCATTCGAAGACCAACATTTCCATTTGAACACCTTAGCTACACAGTGGATAGAGATCACAAGAAGTGTTAGGGTGCTTTCCAGTGGAATTTCCAACATGCATTTCAAAGAGCTCGTTTCGAAGCATCTTCCTGTACAGGCCCTGGTCAGCATGTGAAAGGTTTTCCTTGTATGGTTTGGGACGCAATCACTTAAGGGGAGATGCGGGTCGAAAAACGCTAGATTTTTCAAAATTACAGATTTTTTAATTTTCGCCTGTTTTGATAAAATTAGTACCTCTACTGTTATGAAAAAAATAATACAGGTCGAGACTTAACTGGAAATGCTTTAAAATTTCATCTAAAGAGCACAAGGTGCCTGTTAAAAGGTCAAACGTGTGCAGTCTTCGAGCACCTTGCCCCCGATAATGCGCCGGCGCTCGCCATTGTTGATCGCATGAGTCGAAGAGTCGAGCCTCACTCTTCAAATAACAATAGTTTCTCTCGCTGATGCAGTGCAAAAAATAATAAAAAGAAGTACTCTTCTGCGCGTTTTTCGAGCGCCACAACTGGCTTATCACATGGTACGAATCGAGGACCGCCATTGGCTGCTGCGCGCCTGTATGTGCTGCGAAACCTATTTGTGGGGTCCATGTCTTGTCGAGCAGCGCAGCTGAACAATGCTTTTCTCGTGTAGTTATCTCCATTATGAATGTAAAAAGGCATTGCTCGCAAGTGAAAGCCGTTGTGCAGTGCGCTCTGTTAGAGTAGGCTACGAGCAGCTGGTCTGATTTGCGACAGTTGTTGGCTTGCAAAAGCCAATGCATCAAAAGTCATTCACATTCGTCAGCCGTAAAGTTCGTGATATGGCAATGGATGACGTCACTGCCAATCTTGAGAGGTCGAAAGAGCTTGCAGTGAGAGAACTTAGCAGGGACGACATAGCCATTATGTACGACGGTATGTGGCACAAACATGGCTGCAAAATGGCATGACACTAGACTTAGTTTAAATTTCGCAGTCCTATTTAACTTCTTCCTAGCTTGCAGTTGGAACAAGGCTCTGCCAGATGGAGCAAAAGTTTGGCAAGCGTTTCATGGCCCTGTCTGATCGAAATGTCTGTGAGGAGTGGGCTCGAAAAAGCCGAGAGGGACAAACCCTCTCGGCTTTTTCGCAGTGGCCACTACAAGTCGCAGTGACCACTACAAGAAGGATTGTTCTTTTTGGTGTACAAATTTCATCTGATTGAATAATATCTTTCATAAATAAAAACCCAATTTTAACTTTAAAACTCGTTCTCAAAACAAAAATTTTGCCATTTTTCCCAATGTGCCCCTCCTTTTTTGGGCACTCCTAGTACTCGGATCTGCATGAAATTTTGCCCAAATTTTTTACAAAGTATGGCAAATGAAATTATTTAGTTTAAATTTCAATATTTTATTGTATAATAAAACAATTGTATGTATACCTTTACTAGGGTAGGTGAAATATGGACTTTTTACGTCTATTATTTTTCACGCATATTACATATTTTGTATGTGCTTTCTAATGAGTTAATTGCACACAACACTTTATTTGAAGTGTAATGAATTATGAATGGTAAACAATTACAAAAGTTTAGGGATGAAAAGAGGCGGGCAAAAGGCTTAAGGTTTTCACTTTGTCATGTTGCAGAGCTAAATGTGTGTAACTTGCAAGAAAACTAAATATATGTTTGAAATCAGCATAAAAAGTTCCATAAACAGCTCAAGTTTGATTGCTCTAGGGTGAATATTAAAAAAAAAGTGTCTTCGAGTAGCATCTCCCCTTAAACGTCAAGTTAACTGGTCACCACCACAGTGTAGCCTTCCGTTGTGCAAAAAGTTGAAAAAGAAGTCTTGAAGTGAGTTGACCTCTGGTGATTCTCGACAGAGTTGGGGGTTCTCAGCCTTAATATTAGGTTGAGTGCATCCCTTCATGCCATGGCCAACCAGAAAACAACCAAGCAGTGGTGCCCAGGCCTCTGCAGCTGTGGATGTCACCTGCTGTGATGAAGTGTGTGTTGTGCGCTGTGAGTGACTGCGACACCAAAATGTGTCGGTATGCCTACCGTAAGACCCCGTGTGGCGTGCGGCTCTGAGTTGTGGCGGACAGTGAGTGCAACAACCAAGGAGACGTACTATGGCCACTTCAGAGAGCAGTGACACTGAAGCCCTTACGTGACCTCTTCGGGCGGCGGACGGGCTGTTATGACTGGCAGTGCAAGGATACGACCTGCAAGAGACTCTCATCGGCGTACTGTCCGAACACGGTCGGCGTCCAGCAGAAATGCAAGAGGCGTCCACATGCACTGCACAAAATGCTCATCGGCGTCGCTGGGACACGCAGCCGGCATTTGACAAGAAACACGTGCACAGACTTGGGGATATAAAAGGAGTGTTGCGTGTGCGATGGGGGCTCTCGCTCTGACCTTCGTTTCAACCGGTCGTGTCTTGTGTAAAGGCGCATCTCGACGCCTAGTCTATTGACCACCTGTAAATATGTAATTAAATTGTATGTTCTCGGTCCTCAAGAAGCCTCGAACGGATTCTTTGCATCTGATGCCCTGCTCCTCGGTCGCATCAGATGCATGATCACAGTGGAAATTTTCAATTGCCACAAAAGCCACCCTATGTGCGACAGAGTAATGTAATTGGGTGGTCTACAGAAAAGCATACAGCCACTAATAGATAACAAGTCACAATGTACAAATAAAATAAAACCTGCATGAAAGGCAGCACATGCTTTCCACTAGTAAGATAGCTGCACTTCAAAGCACAGACAACTCTGTTCTAAGCAAATAGGCAGCAAAACTTATTAAAAAAAAAAGCTACTTCGAGATATATCTAAATTAAAAAACAAGTTCTCATGTCATGGTGACACCCAAGGCTCTACGCGAATGTTCATAAACAACATAGCTAATGCTGACTGCAGGAGCCACTTTCATGAAGTTTGGAGTGATGCCACGATAAAGGCCACTGAAGCCTTCAGTGCGGACGATGCCTTTGATGAGTCCAATCATGGAGGTTCGCTCGTGTTTTCCATCTGCAGTACATGAAACACATCAACATCTAAATTCGATTACCCTGCATGAAATATTTTTTGCTGTGATAAATGTAGAAAAAGATCAATTTTTTAAAGACGAAAAAAAGTTCAGTAAAGCACCTCACACTTATCACCCCGCAGCATTTGACGCTCTAGAAAATAAACCCACAAAACTAAAAGAAAACAAATATATAACCGGGCCTAAGTTGGAAACTTCACTTTCTCATATAGAAACTAACATTAAATTCAAAGTCTTGTCAAATGTAAGATATACGACAATCAAGATAAACTAGTGCTCACTAAGAGCCCATTACAGCTGATCAGAGGTCAATTGATATGAAGGTTTTCCTGCTGCCTCTTGAGTTGCACCTTTGTTCTCGTCAGTAAACACCATAACGAACCACCTTTGTTCTCGTCAGTAAACACCATAACGAACAACTGTCTAGATTCCGGTCTATTAACCACACTTGCTTTTGAATGCCATAAGCATACACAAAAAGAGTGCTGCTATTAATTTCTTTTCCCCCTTATTATGTAGACTAAGAGTGTGTTTAGATTTTATGAAGTAAAACATCATTTTTTATTTATTTATTTAACAATACTGTCAATCCCGTCAGAGATTTTTACAGGAGTGGGTTGGAAAGTGTCAACAAACATTCTATATTCACATACTTATACAATTGTATGGGTACAAAAAATCATGGTATAAAATGATAACAATTATGGACCTACATTATTAACGAGGCACATGTCTCAGTCACATGTGCACACACTGAAAAAAAAAACACGAAAAAGAAAGAAAAAGGTAAACACGCAGCATACAAAGTTGGTACCGACTTCCACCTTTTTAAACCACAAATGTACTGGCAGGGAGGACAATGATCAGTACAATCCTGATAGCGTCGCTATCATGTAGCTGACAGAACGGCTTGGCCAGCAAGTTCATAAAATTTGTTGACAGTGGGCTGCACAACCACCGTCTTGGGTAAAGCATTCCACTCTCGCACTGCCCGCGGGAAAAACGAAGAACTAAAAGTATTGTTGGTGCATAAATATTCTTGCAGTGTAAGGTGATGCATAGTTTAAAAGCATAGTTCTACTCAGGTACTCAAATATATGAAATTGAATTATTTAGGGCTCATGTCTTGCAACAGATGAAAAATGGCATACAGTTGTTTGTTGAAATGCATGATAGGAATTGAATTTATACAAGCAAGAACTAGACAAATGCTAAATTTCTGCTGGTGGAAGTACTGCAAGTCTTAACAATGTTGCTGCAATTAATGACCATGCTTCTCACAAACTTACAGTAATGTTTCTCACAAACTTACGATAGAACCAGGAGACTTTTTGTCATAGACATGTCTACTACTGCATGTCTTCTGTACCTGAGTTGTGTTATTTCAGACACACAAACTAAGTTAACATACAAAGTGGTGTGCAGGATCACAAAAGAAAGGAGAACAAAAATCTAAACCGCCGCACAGCTCCTTTGAAATTGACCAGCTGCATACCGTATAACATATATGCAGGCTACTATACGAGTATTGGAAAAAAACTCAGGTTCACTGTAAATGAATTAGGATCACTAGTTATTGACGACCTAAACTGCAGTTGTAAATATACCACTGTCCAACCGGACATGATTCGGCGATATGTGCACTAGCGAATTATAAATCTTTGAGCAGGTAGCTCACAAATTACAAAGACACAAGAGAGAAATAAAGAGACGAGATGAGTGCTAATTTTATTATTTTTTTAAAGGAAAGCAAAGGCACACCATTTTAATCAACCCCTAAAATGAAAACCAAATGAACATATAGAAATACAGTTCAAAACACGCAGTTCAGTTTATATAAACTAAAAGGTTGCGGTTGCATAGTGCATGTTCACAATCGCGCATTTGTCACAAGGCGAGCGAAGGTGCCATGTTTGCTGCAACAAAAGCTAACTCATTGGGGTGAAGGTTCAATTACAGCTGGCTGACACATCATACCATCCTCTTCAATGAAAAACCCTTACTATGACCACTTCAGACAGCTTGTAACACCGTTCACAACTGCGTTGTTGATGATTTATTGGGATATAAAAAATATGGCGATCCTTTCAGAGAACTGAAACGTTTTCAGAGACTAATGCTCAAACAATGGCCAGTCCGGCTGATGTTATGTCTGCAAGCAAAAGGAATGCAATGCACTACATTTTTAGTGCAAGTGATAAAACTAATGGTACAACAAGCCTGTTTTTTGTTTCCCTTACTGCTCATTTGTTTCTACTGTATTGGGCAAAGGGTGCCCACCTTATTTTTCGCAGTGAAAGCCATGTCAACATCATGGTGCGATGCTACATTTTTTAAGAGTGCATCCCTACACACCAGGGGCATAGTCAGGGGTGGCACACCAAACACATGTCCCCCCCCCCCCACCCGAAATTTTTTTTTGCCATGGCATGGAGAGTTAAAAATGGCCATTTTAAGGAGGTGCCCTTTCCGAAATCAGGGTGGTGCCCTCTTTCCAGAAAAAATTTCTGGCTACACGCCTGCTACTAACTCATCCAAATTGTCGTTCTTGTAAGCAAAACTATGTTGGCTCATTACCATGATAATGCTGCATAGATGCACTCATTTCAATGTGCATAGAGTGAGGTTTTATCGGCTCTGTACACAAGTAAAGGTAAGGTCAAAAGTGGTCCGGTGTCAGTTGCCATATTGCAGTAATGTAACTGAGGACTTCTGATTTGGAGCGATATTCGGCGTAGCAAAAGTTTTCATCTTGGCGCATTTTGGAGCTGGTAATTTGCATCTGGGAGATCTCCGGAGTAGCTAAGTTCTCATCATAGAGTACATGGAGAAGCAAGTGGCAATTAAATTCAAGCACTTGAACAATTACTATAAAACCTTATGAATATCCAGAAATATTTTGATTTAGGGTTGCCACTGGTGGCTACTTAATGAAAAATTGGGTGCTTTCTAAGCCTGTCTGGCAAGAAAAATGTCAGGTTGGTCCCATGGCTACTTTTTGGCCTTTTTGAACTTCTATTCTGGTGCATTTACAGTCCATTTGTACTTTATATCCGAAGATAAAACAGCAACCAAATGCCAAGAATAAGCATTGTTTGGAAGTTTTTTTTTTTGTTGTGTTGGCCTATTCTATGAGCGCACATGTCCTTCCTGTGCCAGTGGACTGGGTGGCAACCAATGGGCATTGCTTTGTCTGAAAAGATGGAGGAACTCCCGAATGTAAGGAAAGACGTGTCTACATAGCACACTGTTGACGCCAGATTCTAATGCTCAAACACACCGTGTCAAATGAAGCCAGACAACTCATCTTTGATGGAATTTCGATTCTTGAAGCTGGAGTGGTATCATTGTGTGCCAATTTCAGTCTATGGCTTCAAGAAAAAGCAGTTGTTGCTGAGTTGTTGGCACAAAATAATGTTTGCAAAAGCTATCTATTGTAGACGAAACTGTATGCAGGCACATTTAAGTTATAACTTATTAATTTAGTTGTTGCTTACCTGTGGCTTGGAGACCAAGCTAAAGGGGAAAATATTGTGCTTGTTATATTCCGTTCTTGCTTATTCGAAATCACATCATTTACTGTTAATTATGACAACTCTCTATATATTATCATTTCTTTCCTCTATTTGGCTACAAATCTGGCATTGAAACTTAATCACATGGCTGATGATGATGATGATGATGAGTGGTTTTTAATAGCGCAAGGGCCAATTCATGGCCAAAGAGCGCCATTTCAATAGACTAGAGATATGAACAATGATATGATGCCTGGCTGTAAAGGGGCCTTAAAATTCCTCGCGCTAACGCGGGTTAGAACATGGAGGTAATAAAATCGTGACAGTGGGGTGAGATATGTGCAGTGAAAGTGGATGGCAAAATGTCATGATGATAAAACCATGATGGAGATGTAGTCACCGCAGCCACAACCACGGTACAGAGGTCGTGATACGAATGACCTCGAAATATGGGGTGAAAGCTATGAAGATCTTTTAAAAACGTGAAAAGTGATTGCAGTTTAAAAAGCGGATCCCTAACGATGAGCATAACAGGGTGTAGTGGGAGCTGCTGTCGATAGGACAGTAAAAAGTGCTTTTTTCTTAGAGCATCTAGCTCATTGCACTGGACGAGAATGTGGAGAACCGTAAGTGGTTCTCCACATCTCTCACAACATGGTGGATTGCCGGTAGATAGAAAATATGAATGTGTGAAGTGTGTATGTCCTGTTCTAAGCCTTGTTAGTGTTACTTCTGCGTGTCGTGATTTTGATTGTGGCGGCCAATTACCTAGTTGTGTCTTAATAGCATGGAGTTTATTGTCTGTGTGTCTATCCCATGTGCTCTGCCAATACCCCCCGAGCTTTCGTTTTAGAAATGGTTTCAAGTCAAGTGCAGGGATTGGTATTGATGCATTGGAAGTAGTGTCGTTGGCGGAAGCAGCCAGCTTGTCGGCCAAACGTTCCCTTGTATCTCACGGTGCCCTGGCACCCAGCAGGCGACATGCTGTTTTGATGCGTACAGTGTGCACAGAAGTGAGTAAAGCGACACCAGCACAGGGTTCTTGTGTTTTTTAGGAGTTTTCAGGGCTTTGAGCACACTTAGGGAATCTGTTTATATTACCACCTTTTGTAATTTCATCTGTTTGACGTGTTTTACGACCGCCGGTATTGCGTAAGCTTCTCCTGTGAAAATGCTTGCATCAGGATGAAGAACGCCGGCCTCGAAAAAGAATTGGCCTACCGCTGCATATGACACAGATGTCTTGGACTGAAGCATCGGTAAAGAACTCAGGGTATATGTATTTATGTTGTAGTTCTAGGAAGTATGTACGTATGTGTGTGTGCAAGTGGTGCATGCGTGCTTTGTGACTTCAACAAAAGAGACGTCACAGCCTATAAGCTGCCACTGCCACGGTGGCAGATATGCTGCAGGAGCCACCAAACTGTGTTCGAGAAGATGCACACCTGTTTCTTCGGCCAGGCCCC